TCCCAGAACATGCACTTCTCCCTCACTCTCACCTGAAGGACTACCTCGCCTCAATACAGACACTTAGCTGCCAACGGAGAAAGGAAAGAACTGAATACATCAACTTGCCTTTTTCAAGCAGTGGGATGAATTCTGAGGCACACTGCTGGAACACTCTCTGAGCATCCTCTGCTTTCATTAAGACTTCTTTGGTCTGTACCAACTGAAAGCCTTTGCCAGTCATCTGTTAAAAAAGAATTAATGTTAAAAATGTTGCTATGGTGCATAGTTTGATTATCCAGTTTATGCTGTAATATACCCATTTTGACCATACACAGAGCTATGGGACCACCTTTTATTTTATTTATTTTAAATCATCTGCCTTTATGCACTTCTGTTTATTTTCATTCCATTCATCCAGATCTTCTCTTCTGCACTATTGTACTTAGACTAGTAAATGTTAATATTTCTCTCTTTTATATGATAGCCCAGGGTTGCATTTTAATTCACAATCCTTCGCAAGCTGAAGTTAGTGGGAGTTAAAAGCGCCCAGCATCTGGAGTCAAGCAGTTAGTTCTCATTAGTCTGCAATAGTCCAGTCAAGCATTAGCTCAGGCTCACCCATCCATGGCTGATGTTTTCTATTTTGAAATATATATACATATTTTAAACACAGAGCTTTTGTTTGAAATCTAGGAGGAAACCAAAAAGCACATGGAAAAGGAAGAGCTACATCTGTACCGTAGGAAAAGTTTCCCTAGCACTTCACTAGCTAGTTATTTAGAGTCTTCATAATCCATATTCATTAAAGAGCAATGAACACAGGGGACTGTGTCCCATATCCTCTTTACTGTAACTATTCCTTCCTAAAAAACAAATAAAAGACACCACACAGGTGAAAGGAGATACTAAAAAGTATATGAGTAAGGAAGATATCTGTATCTCAGCTCCATCAGAAAAACTAGAGGGAAATAACTAGAGTTTTTTTTTTTTCCTCCTCTCCAAGAAGTTGTTAAAAGTCCAAGGGAATGAGCTCTGCCAGCTGCTCCATTTAGCACAACACTGGGGCCAGCAGCTGCTGCAGATACCTCTGTCAGAAGCTGCAGCTCTTAATTACTGGTCTTCCCTCATCTCTCCATGGGGTTGAGAGCAGCCGCTGCTGGATTCTAGCCTCACTAAAGCCCAAATGCAGCCAAACAGGGGAGCTCCACCAGCTATCTGAAGTAATCAAAGACAGCTGACCAACTGTGCCGAATACTCAAAATGTTGCCTCTACCAGAAGAGAACTCCAACATTGGGTGGCAAGGGGGTCAAAATTTTGCATATCATTCTTGAAAGCCTCCCAGCCTCTGCTAACATTAGTAAAACTTTCAGGCCGTACTGCCTTGCTAGCTGCCACTTCAGAGTCAATAAACTAATGGGTAAAATAGCTATACCCCTTTTACAGGGATTGCTGATGATTTATTTTATATTTGTCCAAGTTCATGGATCAAAATATGCTTCCTGCAGTATAACTCTGGTGTACTGTGCTGGAAAAATATACTGTAAATATGTGCCAATCACAAAATGTCAACTTTAAAACTACTCTTTTAAGCAAATGAGCTCCACTCTCTTACCTTGTATTAAAGCTTTAAAAAAAAAAAAGTAGTTGATTAGAGTAGCTAGATGCGTAGAAGCTCAGCATTTTCACTACAATAAGCCCCAAGTTTATCCAGAGGAAAGTTCAATTAGAAATTCAAGAAACTGATCGCAGGGAAAGGTCACTTACCTCATCAATTAACTTCCTGGCATTTGCAGTCGTGTAGTCACCAGCAAAAAACACTGCCAAACACGACTCATCGCTGCTCCTCTGCCTCCGCCCTCGCGTAACCGGTATGATGCTCTTTGCGGCATCCGTAGAAACTCTTACAGCTTTCAGCTCCTCCGTGCTCGGCAGCGGAACATAGTCCTGAACCAGCGCGTTCTCGGGCAAAAGCCCCCAGTTATTTTCCCCCGCCAGCGGCGTGAAGTCGTGGATGTTGCTCCACGTGTTATTGAAGATGCTCAGTCCAGCATCCTTGAACTGCAGCGCGAGCTCAGGGTAGTAGTACTGGAAGCAGCCGAACTTCATGCCCGCCGAGGACTCGATGATGGGCTGCGTGGCGCAGCACAGGAACACGTCCAGGCGCCGGCAGTCCCGGCTGCGAAACTGCTGGCAGGCCACGACGCACTTACAGTCCTTGCAGTCACGGAAGAAAACGCTGCCTTTGATCGGGCCTAGAAAGATCTGGCAGCTCGTGCAGTCGTCAATGGTGATCGTAGCAGAATGGTCAAATATGTAGATGCTGCAGTTCTCGCAGTCCTGAATGACAAACTGCTGCCCTGCCACCTTCCCAGGCAGGCGGCCCACGGTTTCACCTTTAAGTCCGGAGAAGGTGTAGTCTTTTGGGTCAATCTAAAGGAGGATGAGGGGAAAAAAAACAGAAGAGTGAAAGCGTTCTTTACATATGGAGAATATTATAAATGTTGATCTGTTTACATTAATTGCATTATACGTTTCAGAATTGTACAGGAGAGCCTGCCAGAAAACTCCTCATAGAATAACCAGAGCAATGAAACACAGAGAAACTTTTAGCTAAGCTACTGGAACGCGCAGTACCGAGACACAACAGAGCTAGAGCTAAACCTCTCAGATACACTAGGAAAAACACAACTCAGCTTCTCCTCTAATAAGGAAAGAGGGGAAGAAGAGTTGGCCCGCGTGGTACCATGTCGTGCTGAGGACATTGGCGAGAGCGGATTCTGCTCTGCCCCCTTGTGAACGCCTGCTAAAATGGCACTTGTGTCTGCGCCAGCACCAGCCTCCTGGAGACACCGACGTGGCCCAGGACAAGATCCCTCCAGACACTGAGCAGGAGGCCGAGCCGCACAGAGCCCCAAACCTGCCGCACTGTGAAAGGCTCCTCCTGGCCGGCACTCCAAGCACTCAGAGGAAACCAGAGAGCAGAAACACGTGTAAGCCAGGCCTGGCTAGCACCAGCCTGCCCTGGCTAGCACCAGCCTGCCCTAGAGCTGCTCGCCCCGAGCGGCCTCTGTCCAGACACACCTGCAAGTCCCAGCGCTCACCGATAAACTTGGTGGGTATCCAGAAAGCTCGGCTGCTCAGTGTGGGCACTGAAAAGTGGTTTATAGCAAGTAAGAAACAGCCATGTAAGAACATTGACCAGCAACAAGTACAGGCGCTTCCTCTTGAAAAATAAAAAATAAAAAACTGGGGTTTCTGACAGATTATGTCTTGTTTACAAGCTTTATGCACAATATATTTGACATCCCAAGGCAGAAGAATCCATCTGCAGCTGATGAGCCTTGCCACCAGAAAGGCAAGGTGAGACCATGAAGATTGCTCCCCAGCAGTCCCCTCCTCAGGCACGTTCACTGGCACCAGTGCACATCAAGGAACGGGAGGTGGAAGAGTCGTACCTAAGATGGGAGACTCCAGTGATATTTATTACAGCACTGAGACTCAGCTGCACTGCACATTTAAGATCTTAAAGGGTTTGAATCCTAATCAAGTGTCATGGGTGTTATTTGATCCACTGGAGACCTTTGGGATATTCAGAAAAATGTAAAAATTGAAATTAAATTTGTACACCTTTTCCCTGCACATTTTTCTGCACATAAGCTTTATAAGCTTGGGAGAAAGACTTACTGCCTCAGAAACACAATACAGAAAATCAGTTATTTCTCTTAGAAAGGAGACACTGAAATTTGCTGGAGCTCCAGGTGTATCCGAACCTGAAAGACGGCGCACATGCCTCTAAACCTGCCCGTTCTAAAGCATGTGAAGCTTCACCCCACTTAGCAAGATGCATGAAAAGTCACTTCACCTCCCAGTGAGGAGGAGGTGGCCTGGGTGAGAAATGCTGCCTCGCCAGCTAGCCCGCAGGGTGCAGCAGGATTTCAGATTGGCAATAATCTGTACTGATTAAAAGTGACTCTTTAAAAAAACAAACAAACAAACAAACAAACCACACACTTATTTTCAGAGTTTATTTATTCAAGAGTGCAATTTTATTTCCCCTACATGAATTAAGAGGTCTGACCTGATGCAACTCTTCCTTCCGAATTTGTTCGCAGGGAGTTGGCCAATTTCCCCCAGTTTAGTTTCCGGCAGGTTTCCTTTGCAGCCTTCCTTTCCAAGGCTTCGGTCACTGCGCAACAGGGCCGTGCAGGCTGGAGGCACCGAGTGCCCTGCACCCCAGCGCGCTCTGCTGAGTTGTCCCGCCTGACAACAGGACTTCACCTAGAGCTTTAACTGGTCTGAGCAGTTCCCCTAAATAAAATGAACATCTTGGAGGAAGGAGCATCCAGGCACAGCGACAGCCTGAGTTTGGAGCATACATTCAGCTGGTATTAACAGGCTTCGTGTTGCGTTTTGTGCTTAACAGCTCAGGTCTACAACTATCAACAATCAGTTAATATTAAAACCACTGTATCTGCCTTCACTCTCTTGACAGTACTGTTTGCTTAAGCCCTGCCTTGGCAATGTAGAAAAAACAAACAAAGAAAAGCTAGGAAAAACAAGTAACAGAAAGATGATAACATCTGTAGCCTCACAGAAAGCATAACCACAGCTATTTAGATCACCTTCTCCCCCATATGGTGTGGCTTTTGCTGTAAAATCTTGGGCATCGGGCAGGTCAGCAACGCAAGGAAAGAAATATCAAACAATAAAAAAATGGATAATTCATCCATTTCTTATCATTCACATTCTGATACAACTTGTGAAAACTCTGAGCTCCAATGCGCCCAATCCACCAGACAGAAGCTTTACCTCCACCGGCCTCTTAAGCATTCTTTAAGCTTTTGTTTCCCCCGCCCCAGTCTGGTATAAATCCAAATGATGACACTATCTATAGAAGCTCTACTGCTTGCAGACAGGTTTAGAGCTTTGCATTACTAGATACAAGAACAGTTCAAGAGCTGGAGCAGTCAGACTGAGATACTCTGTACGGCTTCTGGAATTCCTCCACAGCGTAACTTCAGTTTAACCGGGTCTGCCGACTCACAGGTAACTCCCACCCGCACAACATTCTTCTCCCTTATCAGAGGTCCCTAAGTCTTATCTTTGGTTACTTACAATGCTGCTGCCAGGTCTGTCATAGCACTGGACTAGACATAGCATAGGGCTGGAGAACAACTGTAAGAGCAGGGACACAAAGGCCAACACGAGCGTATCAGGCTTGGCTGGAGCTCTACCAAATTCTGCTGCAGCAAGTTTGAGGTGTACGAGGCAGCTTCCTTCTGACCAATGCTTGGCTCGCAGTAAGGTCAGCGGACAGACACGAAGGCTGCAGAGGAATTTTGTCTCTTCAGCCGCTGTCACCCAAGCTCACTGCCATCTAGGCTAGGCAGCGTCCATGCGGGATACAGCTTACAGGTCACTAGGCTGAATTTTCAGCAGCAGCAGCCGCCAGAAACATCAAAGATCCCAAAATCTTCCTGAGTGCTTTCTGGTATGTGTTCATGTCCTAACAAGACTTTCCCACCTAGTCCATCAGGAAAGGAGCCTTAGTCAGCAATGACATGTCACCACAAACATGACGACAGGCGGCAGCTTCCTACTGGATCATGGTTCTCTCCAACATGTTTGGGTCTCTAGCCTGCTAAGGAATGCTAATTTTTAAAACATCTTCCTAAACCACTAACCACTATTAAATATTTTCCAAGTCATTCTCTATTTCTCTAAATCACACCAGATTTATATCTTCAACTGTATGTTGGTCTCCAACTGAACTGACAAGAGGTGGCTGCTTAACACAGTGACATTAAAAGCTGCAGATAGGGCGGGTACATAACCTTAAGAGGCTTTTTTGGTCATTAAGGCAGTTGCCAAGAAAGGAAGTAAGCAAGAAAAGTGTGTTTCCAGGCCTAGGCACTTCTGCATATTCATACCTGTGGGATTGGTGCCCTTCAGCACTGAGTTGCAACACCTTCTGGAGAACTTCTATTAAAATTGCTTACCTCTAGCAGATCTCCAGATTCTTAACTAGCAGTAAAAGGAGGAAAGAGGAGCAATACGTGCAAGTCTCAGACATTAGCACACAGCTTTTTTTCTTGCAGCATCTCTGCTTATATTGACTCGAAACCGCATTTGATTCTGCTTTTCATGGTCTTCCCTGCCTTAAGAGTACTAACAGCTGTATAAATCAACTGTGCTCATACTCTTCTGAGCAATGAACCATTGCCAAACACTGCAAACAGGGGAAAAGAAGGAAGAAAAGAAGTTAACTGAAAACAGTGTTTTCAGTTCACTCTACACTGCTTCACAAAATGATACATTTTATTTGGAGAAATACTGCAGTATTTCTCCTACTGCATATGGAATCATAAGGGAGAGGCATCAGCTTTGAGGACAAAATAATTCACAATTTTCTATATTCATCTATAAATAGTAAGTAAATTAGATCTAGACAGTTCATGGTGTCCATGCTCCCTCAGACCATTCCAGCAGGGCCCTCAAGTGTAAGGTAACAACAAAAAGATCATGTACGTGTACAAGGTAAAACCCTATGTCTTCTGTTTGAATACAGCCACCACAGATGGACACCCTGTCTTACAACACATGGTTATCATTGTAAATACGACCTTATTATGCCTCCTGCCAACTAAGGCAGCTCTGTTACAAGTTAATAGACTTGCTACAGAGTCTTAACTCAATTTTTCCTTTTAGAAGGAATGCCTCAGAAGGAAAGTCCCTTTAAGCCTTAAGGAGTATTAAAGTTATAATAATTTATGTAACCCTGCTTCTCTGAGCACGTGAGCAGCAAAAGAGAGGGTGCAGATTTCATCTTCACTTGCAGAGAACACGTGTTTTTTTTTTTTTTTATCAACCACCACAAGATGCAAAAACACAGTTCCTGTCTGTATGTCTAGTTATTGATACAGCTATCTCTCTGTCCCTGAACCCAAGCAGTGTTAGTCACTCAGGCGGCAGTTAGGCAAAAAGGAAGAGGGAAATGGATCAGAGAGAATCCCAGATGGAGGCTGAGGAGCACCGGGCACCGCCACGCTGCTCCCTCGCTCGGGACAGCCCAACACCCCCAAAACACGACCAGTTTCCAGGACGCAGCGCAGTGCCAACGCAGTGACAACAGTCTCTCCAACACACCGCGCTCTGCTTGCTCTCTGCGCTAGGAATCCCAAGGAAGCGAGAAACGGGATACTCCTCCTTTTCCTTCCTGGGTTCAAGCGGATTAGCTGAGGCTTTGACTCCTCTGATCCCCACAAGCAATCGTCACACAGTTCTCTTAAACCAAAGGTCAGAAGAGATTACAGAGATCCCAGCAGACCTATGATGCAGTCTGAATTTCCTCACTTTTAAATGAACTTAAAAGCACTTTTGTCCTCATTTAAATGACTTCATGTATAGAACAGAAAAGATCTGCTCATAAA